CCCCGGGGACATGCACACAGTGCGAGAGGCCGGCCAGAAGCTCGGCGCCTGCAGCCCGGGGCTGTGGCTTCCCGCTCGCCTCGGCTCGGGACTTGAGACCCGCTTCGGCCCCGAGTGTTCTCGGCGGCAAAATTGGGCCATGGCCGTGCTCCGCGCACGGTTCCCCCGGCCGTTCCCGGCTCTCTTGATCTCCGAGACCCGGACGTTAGGGGTGAACTCCCTGTGGAAACCGTAGAGGGCCACCTGTCCGCTGTCCCGCGTGGAGGAGACCCTTTCTCCAGCACGCCCCCCACCCCCACAGATCCAAACGGCTCTGGGTCCCGCTTGTGCTGCCCCGAGCCCTTCGCACAGCCTCCGGACTCCCAGTCCCTATTTAGCCACTCAGCAGACCACCGGGAGCGCGACTGCGTGCCAGACCCGACGAGGAAGTGGGGGCGACCCGGCCCGGACGGCTGGGAACTGAAGCGTTAGACAAGCGGTCCGCCGGCCAGCTGCGGTGCTGAGCGCAGAGTCGGGGTGCCGGGCGCGATGGTCCTCTGGGGCGCTCAGGGCTCTCGCTTGGCTTCCTCCCTGCTGCGCAGGGACCCAGGGTTCTTCTTCGCTGCCCTCCCCTCTGCCACCCCACAGGCGTCCTGGATATTCGCTTCCCCCCCGCGATGGCCTCCGTGGGCCCCAAGCCTGCGAGCTGAGGACGCCTGCTCCAGGCCGATCCGTGGGAGCTCGGTTTTCAGGGACTGACACGTGGCGAGCTTTCAGCTCCAAGTCAACGGAGCTCCAGGCCGAGTCTAGGCTGATGGATCTCTGCCCCTGGCCACCGACTCTGCCTTCTGTCCGCCCGGTTGCTGGTATTGTTTTCCTATATAGGTTGACCACGCAGGTCCTACCCCCAGCAATCCGTCTCCTCCTCATCTAAATCTGGAGATATGTTTTTACCCTCCCTGTCTTGTTGAATTGCCACCTCCTCCACAAAATCCTCTAAAGCTCCTCCTTGGGGCTTGCTTAATTTCCTTCGGTTTCTGTCCAAGTAATGCTTATCAAATCCTTCCAGTGGCTTTGGACCGCCCCGGGTTCCCCGCAAGGAACCATGAGATTCCACACTGACAGAAATGGTCAGCCCTCGCTCCGGACACCGCAATGTGCTCCAGCTGCATTAGCCTTCATGCTGTTCCTCAGAGCGTACCAGGCACATTCCTGCCTCAGGATCTTTGCACTTATTACTTCTGCTTGTAATGCCCATTCGTCTGTTTTTACATTCTAGCCTTGTGTCTTTTTTTAAAAAAATATTGTGTTAAACATAAAACTTAACATTCTAACCATTTTTAAGTGTGTGGTTCTGCAGCGTTAAGCAGTTCACATTCTTTTGCAAACATGACTATCCATCTCCACAGCTTTCTCCTTATCCCAGACGGAAATCCCATACCCACTAAACAGTAACGCTTCATTCCTCTCCTTCCCAACTGCTAGCAGCCTCCTTGATCCTTTGCTTTATGAATTTGACTATTCCATGTACCTCGTGTAAGTGGAATCATGTAAGTGCCCTTTTGTGCCTGGCTTATTTCACGTACAGTACTTTCACGGTGAGTCCATGCTGTGGCATGTATCAGAATGCCATTCCCTTTTAAGACTGAACCATATTCTGTTGTTGTATATACCACGTTTTGTTCATCCATCCTGGACATCTGTCTGGTTCATGTCTACTTTTTGGCCATTACGAATAATTTTGCTGTGAGTAGTCTTTCTTGCATATGCGTCAATGGACAGTATTTATGTAATTAGATAATGTTGCAAAATTCTTTCCTACGCCTTCCTAGCCCTGAGTGTAGTGCTGGTAAATGGGGCGCTAGCATGTTGCTTCTATAAAGCAAGGTTCACTGTGTGGCTCTTGCTCACCTGTCACTTCCTGGCACATTAGAATAATCTAGGAGAGTGCTTACGACAGCCCAGGAGGCCTGCACCTCCCGACCCGACTTCTAACTTTTGCCTTTTTTTCTTTCCCATCTCTTACATTGGTCTTGCTATATCCCTCAAATATACCAAGTTGATGATGGCCTCAGGGCCTTTGCAGATTTGCGGTGCTCTGTCTAGAAATTCCAACCCTTTGCCTGGTTCTCTCCATTGTCTCAGGACTCAGCTCAGAGATCCTGTCTCAGAACTAACCGGACCACCTGATGTGGGCACCCACATCATTTCTATTTGGTTGGTTTTTCTTTGGAGCAGGTCCTGTTTTTGGTCTCCCTCTACAATGTAAGTTCTTTTTGGGGGTGGGGGTTGAGACAGGGTCTCACTATGTAGGTGAAATTGACCTGGAACTCACTATGTGGCCCAGGCTGGTCTCGAACTCACAGCGATCCTCCTGCCTCAGCCTCCTGAGTGCTGGGATTACAGGCATGTGCCACTACGCCCAGTATAATGTAAATTCTAAGCAAGCAGGTGCTTGGTAGTTCTTTATACCCCCTTCCTCTTTCAGAACATACTTTCTTTTCTTGTTAATTAGAAAGCTGGCATTCCTTTAAGGGGAAAGAATTTGCACGAGAGGGTCTATCTTCCCTAAGCTAGAGCAGGGCCAAGGCATGGGATTCCAGCTCCGACTTCCTAACCGTATGAAGCTGAAGTATGGATCCTCCCAGGCACAGCATACAGTCGGTGCTCAGTAATTACTGTCTGAGGCAAGTGCAGCAATTCAGGTCATGACAGGAGAGGACATATCCAGGATCTCTTTCCTTCCCACCCCTCTGAAGATCTCTGGAGGATTCTGCCAGAAGTTGGATTTAAGCTTTTCCTCCTGTCTCACTACTGTCACTTGTTGATCAAAGGTACACGCCAGCCAGCCCGCCCCCAGTGGGGACTCCAGCCTGAGAGCCCAGCTTTAATCCCAGGACCCTTTGATCACCTTCTGCAGTGTGCATCAGGCAGGGGGAGGGCCCCTGGGGATTTATCCTGCTCACAGAGACAATGCAGCCTCCTGAGAAATGCTGAGCTGGTCACTAAAAACGAGCAAGCAATGTTACTTTCAGACTGTGCCCTCCTACAAGGCCTGTCTGGGCATTAAATGAGAGAATGTGCTTAAAGGGCTTACTGCACACAGTCCCTGATCTAACGGAAGTACTAGTAACAAGGGAAGAAATAAAATCTCAACACAAGGAGTGCCGAAGATGAAGGCACAGGATTTCACCTGCAAGGCGAACCCTGTGCTCTGATCCGCACCTCTCGGATCTGATCTATCCCTGTCCTTCACATTCACTCCACACCAGCCCGGGACACCTTCATCCTAGTCCTTGAGTGCCCTCTACTCCTTCCAGCCCTGAGGCCTTTACATTGGCTCCTGTTGCTGCCAGCTGTTTCCCCAGATCTTCCTCCCATTGCTGGCTCCAGCTCATCCTCCAGGTCCCTGCTTAAATGTCATTTCTTCACAGAGGCCCTGTTAAAAGCATCCTCTCTGCACCTTCTATCTTGCTAGGTTTTCTTCATCGTGTACGTCCCCTTTCTTTGCCGTAGTCTAATCTTTGTGCTTATTTACTTGTTTATTATTATAGGTCTTCTCCAAATAGACTGTCAACTGCCCTGGGCAGATGTCTTGTCTGCTCATGCCCTGCCGTAGCCCCACATTGTGGAATATTTGTGCCTGATACATGCAAAAGGGTAAAAACATGAGTTTGATGAACAGTGAGTATCTCCTCTCCTCTCCTCTCTCCATTTTTCCATCCCCCCCTTTTCTTTGAGCTACATATTCTCTGCCGTACTCATCCTTCAGTTTTCCTTCTTGTCATTGTCAACCAGAGGTGAGGTGACAGGCATAGGCTTCAGTCTTCCTGCTGAGGATACAACACCTTTCCTATTGGAAGCCCTCACCTTGGCTTTCGTAGGGGCCTTTGCAGCTGACATGTCAATGACTGCACCCTCAGGCTGGTCTGGCCAAGCCCTGAGGTGCAGATCAGCAAGTCAGGAGCTCTCGACATCACTCATTCTAATGTTCATTAACCCTGGCCAAGTCCCTTAGCTGCTCTGAGCCTCCATTTTCTCATCTGCAAAACGAGGATGATTCCAATGCTCTGGTTTCCAGGCTGGAGCGGAAGAGCTTGGCTTGACCAAAAGCAAAACCTCGACAGCTGTCTGTGTTGGCTTTCTGTGTCGCCCGCCACCCTAATCCTGCCTACTTCTCCTGCCCTTGGGGATCACCATGCTCAACTGACACTTTCTCAGAAGCCCAACCTCCCTGCATAGACAAAGCTCCCATAGTTTATAGCCCCTTAGCACTGCCTTTCCTTACCCTCATAGTGTGGATATACAGTTGCTAGGTTATTGTGTGAGGTTGTTCTGTCCTGCTGAGTTGTAAATCCCATGAAGACACAGACTATGTTTAGGTTTTCATACTTCTTGCTCATTTTTCAGAGGCTTTATTTTTCTAAAGCAATTTTAGATTCACAGCCAAATTGAGCAGAAAGTATGACATGTCCCCCGCCCCACACATGCTACACTTGGTACCACTGAACCTACCCTGACACTCAGTATCGCCCAAAGTCCTTCGCTCACATTAGGTTTGACCTTGATGTGGTAAATTGTGCACTGTGGACAAATGTATAATGATGTGCCCACCATTACAGAATTATACAGTGTAGTTTCGCTGCCCTGAAAATCCCCTGTGCTCACCCGTTCGTGCTCCCCTTCCTTCTCCATAGTTTGCCTTTCACAGAACATCATGTAGTTTGCAGCCTTTTCGCATTGGCTTCTCTCACTTAGCAGTATCCTTTAAGGTTCTTCGGTGTCTGTGTGGGGGGAGGGGTTGTTGGGGATCTAACTCAGGGCCTCATGCACACTAGGCAAGGGCTCTACCACCGAACTATACCACCTGGTCCCTCCTATGTATTTTTGTGGTTTTTATGGTTTTATAGCCCATTTCCCTTTACTGCTGAATAGTATTCTGTTATCTGGATGTTTCACAGTTTATCCATTCACCTACTAAAGAATATATTGGTTATTTCCAAGTTTGAATGATTATGGATGAAGCTGCTATAAACATCCATGCAAGTTTTTATATAGCCACAGGTTTCCAGCTCATTAAGGTAAACAGCAAGAGGCTCAAGTATTTAATCACATGGCAAGAATATGTTTAGATTCTTTTTTGAGAAACTGCTGAATTTTCTTCCAAAGTATAAAATATGAAGTGTAAAATGACCATTTTGTGTGCCCATCAGCAGTGAATAATATAGAGAAAGAAAAATTCTGAATCTGAAACTTCTGTACCTGTATCTGGTCAGCCTTAATTAGTCTGGACTTTGCCCCTAACTTCTCGTATGATCTCAGAAGACTCTCAAATTGCCTGAACCTCGGGTTTATCATGTACGGGTCCATAAATGTATGAGATAGCAGGAATTAGAGATGCCTCACTAAATATGGTTTTATTTTTCATAGCAGAACATTTATTGGTACATTTTAGGCATACAGGAGGATAACATTCATCAGGGAATTTGCACCTATACCTGGTACATTCCACCTCTTTTTTCTCCTTCCCCTCTCCTTTCAAGCCCCCTCCCCTAAACATGGTTTTATTAAACAAAGCCCTTGTATCAGATGCTTTGAAATCTTTTTAATTCCACAATTCTGGACCCAGTCTTGCATGGCAGGATGGGGGAGGACTAGCAGATGTGGAATATCGCTCTAGGAGGCTCAATCTGCTGTCTGCATTGCAGCTCCTAGTTTGAGTTGAGGTTTCGCAGGATGTCTGTTTGAAATGACCTAGACAGGGAATTCTTCTCTCCTCCTCTCTCTCCCCTGCCCCTCCATTTAAGCCAACCATAAAGGAATTCTATTGAATCAAGACAGTGAATATGGAAGGTGCCTCGAGTAGGATAACTTTAGAAAGAGCAGACAGAGAAGCTACAAATGTTAAAATATAAACATTCCATGTTGTTGGGCAGATACATCTCAAACAAAGCCTCAGCTGGCAGGTCAGATGCACATATTCAGTGCACGGGTAGCCTTCCTCCTGGTGCTGCCATGAAAACACCAGGGCTTGGGAAAACAGAGTATTTCCTGTTTAAGTCCTCTTCTGTGTCAGTTAGCTTTTCACCTCTGTGACCAAATACCCAAGAACAATGACTTTGAGGAGGGAGGGTGAGTTGTGGCTCCAGTTTCTGAGGTTTCAGTTGGCCATCAGCTGGGTTCAGCGCTTCAGGCCCGTGGTAAGACAGAACACCATGGTGGACCTTGGGGCTCCAGTGGAGAGCTGCTCACTTCATGGTAGCCGAAAACAGCCAGACGGTAAGACAGCCGAAGAGAAAGGGACCTGGAACCAGACACAGTCCTTATGGTCACACACCGATGATGCACTCCCTTCAACCAGGCCCCATCTCCTGGGGCTGTAACCTCCCAATAACATGCAGCTATGATGCAAGTCCCTTCCAGAGCCCATCCTCTGAACACACGAACTTGGCGGGGGACAGAGTTGGGGTGGGCACTTTAGATCTAAACCATAACGTTGTCGTTTTTGTACAAAGAAGAAAACATTTGTACAAAATGCAGAGAAGTGGTGAGATGTAAGACAAAGGGTCTTCCTAGGAGTCTGAGGTTCTGGAAAGGGTGTCTCCTCTCTGTGGGTACTGGTGTGAAGAAAGGGAGCTGGATACTCTAACCCAGTGTTCCCGACCTTGGTAGTTTGTTAGATTTTCCCAGGAACCTTTAAGAAGGGACGTGGCTGGGTTGCTGAGCCCTGTCCCAGACAATCGATCAGCTTTCCCTCAGCGATTCCTATTGCTGACAATCACTGCTAAGGAGCTTTCCGGGTTCTAAAAACCCTGCAAAGGTTTTTCGTCTACTTAGTAGGTCGTCAGTGTTCCACTAGGTGGAGCCTTCCAGCAAATTTCAGCGGGTCCAGGGAGGTCTTGTCAAGGTCTGAAAGCAAGGTTTGGTGGTCTTTGCCGACAAGGAGAAGCCTGCGCTCCTGAAGAGATGACTGAACCTGCTGGTTGACAGCTTGCTGGCATGAGGTGGAGCCAAAGAATGTTGAGACTCCTCCCTATTAGGAAAAGGCCCTGGGAGGGGCAGCTCGGTTCCTGACTGTTGGCTTACCCATTCACTCATGCATTCTGGTCTCTTCCTCAGTTCATCCTGCAGTAACCTCAAACCCCATCTCAAAAACCCTATTATTGTGTTTTAAAACACCATGATTTTCCTTGGGGATTTATACTCCTCCACCTCAGCCGGCAAGCTGGGTCAAAACTGGCTCCTACCTCAACTCCCCGTTTAGCCAATCAGAACACTCAATCCCTTCCGCTACAGTGATTGGCCAGGGGTGGGCACCTGATCTCACTTGAAGCACGAGGTTGGATTGTGTGGTTTTAAATGTAGAGTTTACCGAGGAAATGGAGGACGCTCTGCCTTGGATTACTAAAAAGATTGGATATGAGCTCTATTCTGAGGAGTGCCCTGGACGTCTTAGCTTTGCTGCTAACCTCCTCCTCCCTCCGAGGAAGTGATATTTGGCCTGTGGACCTTTTGGTCTCTATTTTCCTGTTGGGTTCTGCCCTTGGGGAGCCAGGACAGGATTCCAAGTGGAAGGAGAGGATTCCCTTCAGGACTCCTTTTCCTAGCTCCCTTCCCGGGTCTCTGGCAGTAAGGGCATAGCTCCTGGCATGCGGCCTACTTTTAAACTACCCTTGCTCTCTGGGTTCTGATAACCTTTCCTCTCCTCCCTGTGTAGACCTCGGGCCAGGCAGTGCCAGCTGTTCCTAGCCCCAGGGCACAAAACTGTCCCTGTGGTCACCTTGTAGCCTGCTCCATTGTTCTGTTCCACGGTTCCCAAATTTTCCAGCATGAGTGCCATCCATTTCAAGCCAAGACCCTAGCTCAGTCAAGGTGAAGCTTTCTGAGAACATCTCCAGTACCGAGGAAGTGGAGAGGTCACCTAGTCACCTAAGCCAACCCCTGATGTCATCTGTGCTGCTGCTTCGACTGACCTCCCACATTCAAGCAATTACCTAATAATGCTGATTTTCTTGCCTAATGAATTTTAAACTCACTCCTTCCCCTCTAGGTCTGGTTCACGGAATGTAATTTCAAATGCCTGCAAGAATCCCTGAACAGAATCCTGCTACGTCGGATGACTAAATTCTCTACCTTAGGGACCACCTCCACCTTTATCCATGGGCTGGTCCTTGACCCATGACTTGCCTGACTTGGTTCAAAAGGACAAGTTGAGCCACTCAGACTTTCTCAGACATGGGAAGGGAAGGAGGCAGCGATATACAGGCATTGTCTCTTCAAATCTTCGGCTAAAGCCTGTGAGTTAGGATCTATTATTATTTCCAGTTTTCAGAAAAAGAAACTTAACTTTGCCTAGCTAAGTTCTTCGTGTATCACCTTGCCGACTCATTTAGTCATTGATTCAAGAGATATTCATTAAGAACCTACCAAGCTCCAGCCTACCACACACCAGGCTCTACAGCAGATGCTAGGGATTCAGTGGTGGGCAAACAGATGGATCGCAGTCTCACAGGGCTCCCAGCTAGTGATGGGAAGGGCATTGCAAAAGTGAACACATGAATAACAACTGTTTTACGTAGGAGGAAAGAGAGGGGTACTCACAGCTGTTGACGACAGATCTAGTATTAGAACCAAATGCTATTAGAATCAAACTCAACATTCAGTGAAGTTCTATTTGTATGACTCCCCTAGACTGTTCTGGTGAGATGTTGGGTTTGCCAGTGATGCTCTGAGCAGCACTGCTTGTCCTTATAGGAGGTCCCTGCCACTTACTGAATATGCATGGGGTGGCGGGGAGAGTGAGACAGACACAGAGAGAAGGAGCCAGAGAGAGAGGAAGGAAGCGCCAGTGTCCCATGTCCTCAGCCGCAGAGCTCCCCAGTGAGGGCCAATGCAGCGAGTTTTGCAAATGCTGTCTTGAACTGCAAAATCACGTTTGAAGAGCACTTTCCTATGCATATTTGCTCCTACTGTGTGTTGTCATTTAGATCTCGAATGTCCCTCAAAACTCTCACATGCTCAGAGGCAGGGTTTTTGAACAGAGATTGGATCACTATACGTATCAGTGGATTCATCCACTAGTGTATGTGATGTCAGGAGATGGGTTCCAGTCACAGGCTGGTCACTGGGCAAGTGGCCTGGAAGGGGCTATCTCCTTGCCCTCCTCCCCCTTTGCGCTCTGCTTCCTGGCTCCCATGACACGGGCAGCTGTCCTCCACCAGGATGTCCTTGCACCATGCCATTCTGCCTTGGAGCCAGCCGACAACAGACTGACTCCTCTAAAAACCATGAGCCGAGATAGACCTCTCTTTGGCTCAGTGGTTCTGCTGCCTGCCTCGCAAGCACAATGGCCCGAGTTCAATCCTCAGCAACAAAACAAAACCCCTACACACCAAGATATACCTGTCTTCTGGTAAATTGGGGGTATCTTCCCTTAAATTGTGTCTCACTGACAGAGAAAGTAACTATGTGAATATTCAGGCAATGACTCCAGTTAAATACAGAGAAATTGTTTCTTTTTTTCCAGAAGCAAAATATTCCACGATGCCACGGAATCTCCTATGGATAGATATTGGAGTTATTATCCATCTTGGGCTATTAGCACCACAATGAATACCCTTGTGCATAACTTGTTCTATAGTGTGACAATAACCTGCAGGGGAGAATCCTAGAAGTCCAATTTGCTGGATCAAAGGATAAACGCATCTTTAGTTGTGAAAGCTTTTGATACATTCTTGACCATAGTAGTGGAATTCTTTTGCACACCTACCAGCCATATAGGAAGATACTTTCCTCTTTACAGCCCAGGCCACAGAATATTTTTTTAAAGCATCATTTCATAGAAAAGTCTACATTCTCAACTTTCTTTAAACATTGCAGGATCGGGGCAACACTGGACCTGTTCTCCCACACGACCATTCTCAGCTGGGACCAAGTGGCCCCTGGTAACTGAGCTAAGTGCTCGCTGCGGTCCTGTGGATCTTAGAAGTTTCAGCTGATGTGGTCCAACCCCTATATTATGAAGATGAGGAGGCGCCACAAGTTCACAGAGGAAGCCAAGTGGAAGTAGATCCCAGTCTCCTCTCAGTCCACTCTACCATGTGGCTTCCAGGATATGTACAAAGGGGACTGGTAGCAAGGAAGAGTAAGTATGCAAAAGTGCTGACAATTCAGCATTAAAATTAGAATTGTTTTCAGCATTTACTTAGCTCAGTATATACATTGATTGCACCACCTCCTAGTTGATTAAACTGTGACTAATCCGCATAAAGCAAAGGGATGAGTTGGCTTCTGTTCCTTCTGAGCATCCAAAAAAGCAGGGTGGTGTCACAATAGAATGACTGTGCTCATTCGTTTCCCTCATTCATCAAACACGACTGCGCACTAGCCCTCATCTGGGCACTGGGGTTTCATAGGTGAACAAATATTTGAGCAGCTGAGGCCCTGAAGAGACAAAACCTAACACAGCATTCTAAGTGTTCTAAGCTATGAACGCCTGAGAAAGGAACTTCTAATCCTGCTGAGGGTCATGTGGGAAAGATCCCTAGAGAGATGATGTTTGGGTGAATCTTGAAAGAGTTTGCAAAGAAACAGAAGTGACGTGAGAAAGAATTTCTTGAAGATAAACAATATCCAAAGACAAGATTATTTCTCAGAAAGCTCAAGAAAGATTGGGGGGTGGGGAGGAAAAAAGAAAGAAAAATATGGAAGCAATTTACTACATTAGTTAATTGAAAAGTCCAGGGTAGGTCTACCTTCAGGTATTCAAAGGATGCCCTCAAGCCAGAGAAGCTCTCTTACCTCTCCTTCTTCCTCAAATTCCTGCCCTCGGGAAGCCTACTTCCTCATGATCGCAAGGTATCTGCCAGCTACTCCAGGTTTACATTATCCTGACAGCTCCAGTAGCGATGCCAGAGAAAGACTGACTTCATTTCCCAAAAGCCTCACAAAAAACAGTCTGACACCGAGTCTCACTGGGTATATTCACATCTAGAGTGATAGGTTAGCTTTGCCTGAGTTCAGAAGGCCCGAAAACGGGGAAGAGCGAGCTCCAAAGGACAATCGGAGTCCTGTGTCCAGAGAAAGATTGGCGTACACTGGCTAGGTGAAGCCCCCAGATCTGGAAGCCATGGTAGACTCTCTCAGCCGAGGTGGAAGAGATTCTGTAATCGGTTATGCACTTGTTCTGAGCAGAAGACAGTAGCTCCAGTTTCCTCGAGTGGTAAGGACTGAGGAAGAAGAAGCAGGCACTAAAGTTCAAGTCTTTTAGGATGAACAACTTCTTTTTTTTACTGAGGAGCATAT